CGAGATAACCCTGATCAATCGGGATTCGGAGCGACGGATATCGCGGTTTCTGCTCCGGGTCGGGCTACACGAACCCGAGCAACGGGGACGCCACTTTCTCTCCGTAAGTCCTCGCGTGATCGTATCGCCAAACATTCCGTTTCGACAAAGACATTTCGTTACCGACAACGATAATGACAATAATAATGCGTGCACGTTGTATCCGCGGCGGCGGTAGCGTTATCGTCCCCGCCTCGACGCCCTCAACCGTATATTTCCCACTCGCGTGTGTTTCCCCTCGCTATCCACGTAAAATAATAACGCGCGCGCGGCCCGCCGAGCGTGCGGCGCGCGCGTGCATAAATCGCGTACTTACCGCGCGGCGCAAAAGTCGTTTTCGGAGCCCGCGCCGATAGGAAACCGTTCGCCGGCATTATAACGCTCGCGGGGGACGCCTAATGCACGCGTACATTATTATTATTGTGTACACGGCATACCGCGACAATATCCGCGTCTCCGTGACGCAGAAACGGAACAAAGTACGGTGTGTGTCGTCGCGGTTTCTGCCCGTCGCAAATAAATCCCGTACGCAAAGCCCGCACCTGTATAACCAATAAGGTTCGTCGTTTCGACTCCGGGCCTTTATTTTTCTTTTCCGATCTCCCTCTGTCCGATATCTCCCTCCCACCGCCGACGAAAATAATAAAACCGTACTTCGTCGCACGGGGCCCGCGGTCGTTCCGCCCGGAAACCTATAGCGGTTTATTGCCGCCGACGGTATTGCCCCGTGTTCGTATGTCGCGGCGAAACGTACGTAAAATTATCGTTTGCGTCTTATTCGCACGGCGTATTAGCGGCGGCGGCGGCGACGGAAAACGCCTTTTGAATAAAACAAAAGGCGACCCGTCGCCAAAGGCCCCCCGTAACCGATCAGATCGTTTGTTAAATTGTATACGTTTGTCAAATTTTTTGTGAATGCGCGCGTTTGATCGGCGCGTTCGTCAAACAATTGACGTGTTTGACCGTGTTTTTTTTTTTTAATAATACTAATTTTAAGTCTTCAAAATCGGCATCATCTTGACAGGTACCACCTCAAAGCTATTGATAATCTTTGAGAAACCAGTATGGAGGGTGGTCTTTTGGACTCCCCGAATGAAACGGCGGGGATGACATTTTGTAATTTTGTATATGCCCGTCGAAAGTATCCAAGTAATTCAACTATTGGAAAACGACAAGAGACCTTATTTGATTGCGCATTAGATCTACTTGGTTAGACATTTTTTTTGATTTTTGATTTTTCGTCTAGTTTTCATAATAATTTGGAAAACCAAAAAAAAAAAAAAAAAATGTAGCAAGTACGGAAAAGGTTAAAGCATAAATGGTTTCATTATTTTCGATGTTGAATTTTCGTAGTAAATTATCGTAGAGAGCTGAAAATTTGACAGAATACTTACATCAGACTTTTTTATTCGCAGTTATATATTTGAAAAAGGTTGACGACTTTTCAGCTATTTATGAGCGTTTTAATTTTGTGAGATTTTATACGTTGTTTTTCTTCAGTAGTAATACCATGTGGATAAAATTGTTATACAAAACAGATATGCTTGAAAATGATCACGTTGTTCTTTAAAGGTTATATGCCCTTAAAGGCATATTGGAGTAGCTTTTTTTATAAGTGTTTTAAGATCAAATTTTGAAAAAACCGTAAAAATTACGTTATTTCAAAACATGTATACTTAACCGAACTTTTCTCACAATCATTTTTCGTTAGAAATGGTATATCGTTTCTTCAAATTTAAATTTGATAACTTTATGTATCTGACCATTTCAACTTAACGCTTATACCCGTTTCTGGTAGTTTTGTGAAACAAAAATATAAATTTGAACTATTAATATTTACGGATTAACGAAATGTAAACAATAAACCACGGGGGGAAAAAAAAAGACTAGTTCGGTAATTTTATTTACATTATTTGTATGCACTCTAAACGAAAACTCGCGTTTAATCCGTCTGTTTTGAATTTTTCCAAAATGTATTTAAACATTAGTTTTTTTAAATTGTGAGTGGAGCAAAGAAGCTTATTGTTATACAAAGTTGTTTATTTTTTTGATCTGTAGACAAATTTTTTACCAGAGATCTTGTTCCGCTTTGCATGTTAAGTACTTTTTTGAAATGAAATCGGTGTGTGGAGGTACCTTAAGGAGGTAATTGTTCGATTCTCTCAAGAATTTTTCCAGAAAATATGAAAAATCGGGAAAATCGGTACAAAATTAACAAATATTGTTAGAGAAAATATATTGGTAAAGTCTATTTAATTATTTTACTATAATACGGTATTGTTGAAAAAGCATAACTGTCAACTAAATTCCGCTCAGAACCTTTTTTTTTTTGTAAGCGATGGTTTATCGTTGCCTGTAGGTTTACATTAAGTTATCTCTAACAGTGACTGCACCCGTCCCCATTATACTAGGACGTCTTTTATAATTTAAATTCAAATAGTTTTCTTTGTCAATAATAAATATCCAATGTATAATATATGTTAGGCAGTCAGGGCCTTTCTTTGGGGTAATGGTTTTTATTTAAAACTGGGTTCTTGCGTAAAAAAAAAACGAATTATAATATAATAGAATATCGATATATTTAAAATATTGCTCTGAGCCTTCTAAATCTTAGGGAATCTTATTGACATACATTTTCCCATTTTTTTTTTCATAATTACTTATCAAAAAAACTGCAGGAAACAAAGGTTTTCGCCAATGGATAGACGATATTCGCTTTCAGAAAAGACGCTGCAATTGAAAATCGGAACAAGATTTCTCGTAGAAATGTTGCTTTTTGTAGACAGAAAAAACAAAATTAAAAAAAAAGCACAAATCGTATAGTCAAACGAAAAGCTGCAAATAATTTCAATGCGGTTTTTGTTTTTTTCATTTTATCGTGGAACAATAATACACTATGTATCAACGGTGAACCCGGGCGAGGAAATAGGGTCTTTTCCCACCTCCCAGTATAATATGTTTTTTCTTGTGTTGTGGTAAACTATTGACCGAGTTTCATCATTGTAAACGGTAAATGGTTTTTCGTCCCCTCCATCCAAAATCGATGTCTGGATCCGCTACCGCTGCTCGTAGTATTTTCGAACGTAAACAAAAATGTTCATTCGGCTAGTATTGGCGTTTGCACCGCATACTTTTGGCGGTCGGGGTCTTATTGTAAATTGTAAACTTTGAACTTTAAAATTAATATTAACGTAGTAGCGTTCGTTGTCTACGTTTTCTATAGTTATTTTTTCTCCCGTCCCGAATACAGTCGAAATGTTAACAACGTTTTATTGTACACGAGCGGTAAGCGTACGTTTGACATTTGATTTAGTGTTGTAAATTATTTTTAAAATATTATTTTTTTTTTTTTTATAAACCGTCGCCAATACATTTTAACACCCCGTCCGGTGGCGTGGTATTTGAACGTATAGCCGTGTCACCGAAACAAAATCAAAAAAATGTACCGCTACTTTTTTTAATCGAATTAATTTTATTTATGAAAAAAAAATAAATAATAATAATTTTATCGAATCTTCGTCGACGAATTTCGTACCGTGAGCGTTTTACAGTTTTTACTTACACTTAAGACTGCAAACGGCAAATTTTTTTTCTGTTAATTGGCAGATATAAAAATAAATATATTTATGTATATTATTTTACGTTTATTTTAAATGTTTAATTACAACAGTTTTGATTTTTCTTAAAATTTGTTTACAAAATATTGTAGTGTCTTTTTTTATTTTTATTTTTTTAGTTAAGTTGATGTATGACATGCGGCTCTTTTGCTCGATTCTAGTATTCTAATAAAGTGATACCGATAATTATGTTATTTTATTTTTGTACAACCAAAAATGAGTAAAACAAAAAAAGTTGCCTATTCCGGACTTGAGAATTGGGCCCGAAGAACAATGTGGGAAACGTTACTACCTAGTTAAATATCCATAAGGGATGGAATTCGGGTGGACTGTTCGAAAATATTGCGGGGGACATTTGTAGTGAAGCACCGGTGCTCTGTTAGATTAACATCATGTTAGATAATATAACTTTCATAGAAATAAAAAATCTCGTTTACGACTCAAAAGCGTACTTTTTCTTTATGAAAATAAAACCTCGTAACGAAAGCTGTGAACGACGCGCATTATATAGACATCTCCGCCCGTTCCCAGCCTCTTTAGAGCTCATATATATACATCGTTATCGAACTGAAGTGCTGTGCCAACATGATTTTTTTATTCGAGCACAATGGGTTATAGATTTTAAAAATGTAAGTTATAGATATTTTGATCGGAGAGAAAAATAAATAAACTTAACATAATGTGACATAGATATACCTACTTGTATGTATGTACGGTTAACAGGTTTCAAATCCAATATTGACCTTACTGAATAATATTTATTTATTTTGTACACAAATATTCTTCTCCTTTCTTTTTTTTAAAAAAAAAAAAAAAAAAAATGTTCAATCTTTTTAACGAAATACAGACCCGATAAATAATAATTTACGCAAAGTAATATTTATTTTATGCTATTAAAAAGTAACCGACTGCGCACCACTTATTTTACTTTGGAAAGGATATAAACGAAAAAAAAATAGTAGGTACGATCGTGATCGTAATTTATTTAGACAATATTTCATATTGGAAATGATATAATGACGACGGGGAAGGGGAACGTCGAAAAAAAACGAGTTTTATGATTCATTATTATTGGCGATACGTTATAATTTATTTCGAAAATTATGTATAGCCATGTAATACCTACTCGACTGCACAAGCAGCGATTACTTTTGGCTTTTCGGCGTCCGGTTTCGAATAATATCGTTTTCAAATAGTTTCAGAAAATAAGTATAAAACATTGTGTTCTCACTCCAGTGGTAAGGTACTCGATAGTAACGGATAAATCGAAAAATCGCCACGGAAAATATGCCCATATACCGGACCGGCCAGAGGAAAGTATGACCGAATACTATTTTCCATTTCCTATAAACAAACATTAAAATTGTTTTTCATTACACCTCGTTTTCCTACGGCCGGGACATTTTTACCGTAGTGATTTCCGTTTTGGCCGTTATCGCGTAAATTCCAATGGCGTCTGACTCCCGAATTAAACGTGTGGCCATTGAATGCGTTTTTACGACTGCACCCGACGGTTGTCAAGTTGCATAACGGACCGTCGTCGTTCACTAACGGCACGTCTGACATTGCAACATTTTACCGAACGAGGTTTTCGTCGTAAAGTTATCGGTTCACCTACCATTGCAGTGGCGCGGAAACCGGCGGTCAACGGCGGCGGTGGCCAGTCTTCTTTTAACGGATGGCTTAGGCGGGTGGTGATGGTGGTGGTGGATCCACGATCGGCATCCGAGTCATACATATCGAGTTGGTACGTCCGGACTATTGATTAAGAGTGTTGTATGGGAGTTTGTTTTGTAAACGAGGGAGGGAGGGGGGGGTGGTGGTGGTGGTGGTGGTCTATACAACTGTTTACATGCGCGCATTCGTGAAAAACGGTGCGGCGCCACCGCTACAAATCTAACGGAACGAAAGCAAATTGTTGTCTCAAACCGTCGTCTTGTGCGGTGTAGTAATTTTAACGCGGAGAAATTTCGCTTGAACATTTTTTTAACACGAACGTCGAACGGTGTATTATTATTATCATTGCGATCACGGCGCGTGGAGTCGTGGTCGTTTTGAGCGTTCGTCGTCGTCCGTCTGCTGGCGGCGACGCGAAACGGAGACGACGACGACGGAGTGGGGGGTGGGCGGGCGGAACCGCGAGCGGGAGGGGGAGGGGGTTATATTTTCCAGTCGCCCGAACGTTGTCCGGTCGCGAAATCCAAACGGATTCGAAACTCCGGGGGTCAAATATGACGCGTTTTCCAATATCGTCGCGCGCGTTACGGATACGATAATACGGCGCGCGGGTACCCCGAAACTCCCGGAACAACATTATTCTCTCGGCCGGTTCGAAATCGGTCGTCACCGCGCGCGGTGTTATCGCGGCGACCGTTCACCCGCCGACGGCCGAGATAACGGCGGTACCGTTGTCTACGCCGCCGCCGCCGCCGCCGTCGTCCGGGGCCGCGGGCCTCAACGAAGAAAACCTCAGCCGCGGGAGAACCGCGGCGACAGTGTGCGCGTGTACACGGGCGCCTGTGTACGCGGCATACTAATTGGCAGTCCGTGTACCGAAACCGGGGGGGGGGTCGGTCCGGTCGGGTCGTCGGAGGGCAGGTCTCGTTCGCCCGTTAAAATCGCGCGCGCGGGCCGCGTGACAACAGCGCGATAACACAACGGTAACGAGCGGAAAATCTCCGTTTCATTGGTACGAAAACGAAACGGCTACGCCGTTGTATCCGTGCGCAACGCGCATCGGTATCCGCGCGTAATTCGATTAATTAATTTTATTGCGGCGTTTTTTAACCCGGCCCGCAATGCCCGTCGACCGACCGAGTGCGCGACCGCGTGCGCCTATACGCGGGGACGGTCGTAGTAAATCGCGCGTTTAATTCGGTGTGTGTGTGTGCGTGTGCGCGCGCGCCTACGCGGTCCCCGGGAATCACCGCGCGAATGAAATCCGTACCCTTTACGGTGTGGCGGGCCGCCCCGGGGACGGCGCGTGGAAATAAACGGATTTCGTCTCGGTCGAAACCCGACCCGTAAGAGGTTTGGCGAGAACCGTACCGACGAGTTGGCTTTTCGGCCATACGCGTACACGAATGCGCCGAAAACCGTAATAGTTTTCGGAGGCGGTGCTCGAATCGGGGAAATTAAAGTAAAAAAAAAACATCTGTTGAGCAATGAAAAAAAATCAAAAATATCGTTCCGACAAAAACGATACTTCATCCGAAATAACGGAAAAAAAATCACAATTGTACCAGTCGAAATTCTACTCATTAGACACTATATTAGAATGTTAAAACAACAACACTTTACCGCGAACGTGGCCACACTGTCGTAAAAATCTCGACTAACTAAAAAACTACTATAATGGATAGAGCAACATGCGTTGTGTCAACGTTATATTTATTCACCGCTCTCCCCCCTCCCCGTCCCGGTATTTTACATTAGTAGGGCGCGAAAAAAAAATAAAAAACAAATTATTAGAGGAACTCTCTGCTCCCGCACACTCCCCCAACTCGAGCGCTGGGACAGGACAGTTTTCGAATCGACGGATCGGTTCACTTGATACAGTTCACTCCTCGAACGAGTTGAGTCGACGAGTCAACACCGACCGACCGACTCCCGAGTTCCCGGGACATTAAACATTAACGAACTCGTTATAACGAATCATCACCATAAATTTCAAGTTAAGTAGCACGTCTGACAGCTGCCACTGGCGAAATTCTACGCCGTCATATCACCGATATTACAGCGAGTTGCTTACGGTCCAATTAGCCATTACGTCACGTTAGAGTTCACAATTTAATACTCGCGTTGCTGTACAGGCGGGTTACCGGACTTGTAAGCGGGTCATTTCGTCAGTAAAATCCAATCCGTTCATCGGCAATGGCATTCGGAAACCGATAAGCGATAACACGATACCGTGAATCGACTCACTCACAGACCACACACCCATTCTAGTATTTTTTAAACGGAGCGATGTTAAGCGAATAAAGGCTTTCGAAAATATCGCGGTTAAAGGCCTCAAAACCTTTTTGCAACGGCCCGCCGCGTTAGCGTTACGCATTTGCAACCATGTTGCGCATCGTATTCCCCGAAGAATATTTTCGTGTCGGGTATAATAAAGAGCTCGCCGGCCCGCTTTCGGAACACTACAGTCGATTGTAAAATATTATTATTACGGGCATTGTCGATGGTTCATTCCCTTTCGCCCCCTCCCCGTCAAAAGAGGAAACGGAACACGGTTTCCCTCGAGAACGCGCCGTCCGTATGCGGGTGTAAATTAGTAAACCCCCTCGTGGGACTCCGCGGCACAACGGTGTCGTACTCGCACGCACGGAGAGGGACAGCCTGGGACAACATGTTCGCTCCCCCCCCACCCCGATCGTCCCCGGGCACTGTATACCGGCGGTGTTCGAGATTGGCGCGACCGCGCGGAGCGGTTGGGGAGGGAAGCGCAGGGGAAAGGGCGGAGAACGTCATTAGTATACGCAACATGTGCAGACGGAACCGTTTACACGGACTTGCCGCGACAATGCTGAAAACGGATTGTTACACGCGATCCGCGTCTTGTGTCTGGTTTACGTGTTTATAAATAGGCGCGACAACGTTGTGTAACGAGACGGTCCGTTAAAAATGGTTTTTTTTTTTTTTCTTTTTACGTCGTACGAACCGCGCGTTACCGTAGCCGGTTACCGTACCGGTTATATTGACGTCGCGGAATAACGAACGACAATCGTAATGCGCGTCCGGTCGACGGCCGCGACAGTTTTTCGCCCGGTAACGATTGCCCCCGTGTGATTACCCTCGAGATACAGTTCGCTACCGATCGCAAAGGACGGAGAACACAGACAATTCATTGTTTCGACGACCGCGTCAATCCCCGTCTCCCGCGTTCGCGGACGCGTTGCACGGAGCACAGCGTAAAAATCAACGGGCGTTTTGTTTTCAATTCGTTTGCGAATTCCGGTGTTCCGGCGGTCAAAACGGACACCGAACGTTCGGTTTTTAAACGACACCGACGTCATTGAAATACCGGTTGTTTTCAACAATCGCGCGACTTTATCCGGAAAAATGAACACAAATAAAATATATTACGCTTATAATTGAATCGTTATATTTAACGTCTAACCGGACAATCGTTGAGAAGTATTTGCTTTGATTTAATTCGATACTCGCGCCGTATTTTTTTGAGTTAAATTGTGGATAAATTCGAATTAAGGTAGCAGGAATTTTATAGTGTATTGAAAGACGATATTTCCGAATACTTGGGTTTTTCGCAGGACCTTAGGAATATCCTGTGGCAATACCGATTTCGGTTTTTATAATCGAGAACCTATATGGTTCAATGCAAATTGGCAATCGGATGGTTTTTCTAAAAAATATCGACGTATCGAAATTTTAACGAATATTTTCTGAGTTATTCTAGTTTAAGTAGCGAAGGGCGATATCGTAAAACTGGTTTTTCGATAACTGTTGTCGTAAAAACGAGATATTGCTCATATACGGCCCCTGTACCCTATCCATGTAAAAGGCTATTATTATCCTTAGCGTTTAATGTAGAACAACGCGGACATTTTTCGTTAAAATTTCGATTGTAATATGTAAATATTTAAAAAAAAAAAAAAAAAAAAAGTCGCCCCGTTGACAATATTCGTGTTTAACCACACAAAACGGGACGATTGCGCTTAAAAATCGCCCTATACGTATTAGAGACTAAAGACAACGGTATCAATTGAAATTTCCCGTATAACGAAAACGTACTTCGAAATAATAATAATACGAGTATTATTGCCGGTACTCCACACGTGACGACAGGCACGGCGGACGGTGTATTGATTACGTAGATAATTCCCCCATTTTTTTTTTTTTGTTTTTCCATCTTGTATAATTTATTTTAATTGGTTTCGCGTAAACAACCGCGTAGAATTGTCCGGTAGTCGTCTCTGGGATCGACCCCCGTTTCGCGGGCACGTAATTTATTTATTTACGTTCGGGTCTCCTTATCTCGGGTTAAAAACTGTTGTTGCGGATTGCGGTCGGTTTACAGGTAGGTGCGCGCGGACCCGATTCAAAATAATCGAAAAGGGTTCTTATCGCAGGCGAAACAGATAGCCGGGTCCTAAACACCTATCCCCCGCGGCAATAACGACGAGAGTGCCGATACGCGCGCGTTGTTTAACGAATAAAACGTCTACCGCGCAATACAGACGCGCAGCCGTTCTGAAATCGCGGGCCAGATTTTAATTACATTTACGCGAAACGACCGGCGGTAATAATATTGCGTCGGCGTACGAACAAGTGAAATGACATTTTTGCCGAACTCCGTCTATAAACCGCAGCGCACCTGATAATACATAATGGATTAGATAACGCGTATATATTTATACACGTAATATTTTGGAGTATACCTACCGGTCATAGGTTACCGTTATACGTACCGCATAAGGGAGTCAACAAGGTGGACAGAGATAACGGCACGGGTTCAATAAATGCGACCTGCCGCTAGGTATAATGTTTGACTTACCGAGCGATTTCGTTTGGTATACCTAGTGTGCGACCTCCACATCGGAATCGAATCTACACCGATACGGTTTTCCATAACAAATTTTATATTTATTTATGCGAGGGTTCTAGTTTCAAACCTCTCCGTGTTCACTAAATTTTCAGAAAACCAAAAAAAAAAAAAACAAACAAATTTAATCGAAAAACGTTTTTCCTCCGTACTAATTTTAGATTCTGAGCGAAGTA